AGAATAAAGATGCAATTAAAATAACATTTTAAAACACACACAAATATGACATGAGACACAATCTGCCAAGTCTTATTGACTGTTCTCTTTGCAGATATGAAGATTCAAAGGAAATGACAAAGACCACGGCTTTAGCCGCTGATTCTATTTATGGTTCCACCCTGTATAAAGTTTATTTCCTGTATAAACATGGCTCACTTTGTTCTATATGAGTGCAGTTATTGGGTGGAACTTATAGTGGCAGCTCTGCCTATAACTGACATAAACTGACATCTGCAGCCAACGGACTATCTATTAAATAGTCTGAGATCCTTGGATGCGGGGAAAAATGTAACTGTTTAATCATGTCTCGAAAGGAACATTTGACTCTGGAGCTGAAAAAGAGAACAATCTTACAGATGAGGTTATGTTTTGTTTTTTTTGTTTTTTTCATTGTATTAACGTTACATCATTTGGTTTGGCTTTTACAAAGCTTTACAACAAACCTAACAAACAGTTGCGGTTAAATCTTTCTACAACAGCAATTATCTTTCTCTGTTAATCCAGTTTTAGACATTCAGGCTGTGAATAATCCATCTTTAGATACTCAGACTGTGATCAATTCATGTTTGCATATTTAGACTGTGAATAATCCAAGTTTAGATACTAACACTGTGAATAATCCAGTTTTAGATATTTAGACAATGAATAATCCAAGTTTCGATACTCAGGCTGTGATTAATCCAGTTTTAGATATTTAGACAATTAATAATCCAAGTTTTGATACTCAGGCTGTGATTAATCCAGTTTTAGATATTTAGACAGTGAATAATCCAGTTTTAGATACTCAGGCTGTGATTAATCCAGTTTTAGATATTTAGGCAGTGAATAATCCAGCTTTAGATACTCAGACTGTGATTAATCCAGTTTTAGATATTTAGACAGTGAATAATCCAGGTTTAGATACTCAGGCTGTGATTAATCCAGTTTTAGATATTTAGGCAGTGAATAATCCAAGTTTAGATACTCAGGCTGTGATTAATCCAGTTTTAGATATTTAGGCAGTGAATAATCCAGTTTTAGATGCTCAGACTGTGATTCATCTACATTTAGATACTCAGACTATGATTATTATTAGCAGCAAATCATGTGAAACAAAAGGAAGAGTCACCAAAGAAGCAATCAAAATTCACACTACCTAAACATATAAAAAGCATTTAGAGCTATTAAAAACAACCCTGTTGCCACAAACACCAGGGCTAGATCCAACTAAGCTTAAAGTTATCTGGGTAAGCAAGAAACACTGCATTGCTGAGAAGATTACCTATAATTTACATTGTGCTATTATAACACAAAATGAGCATTCCATCATCAACGATGTACAGACATACATTTACACCATTTAGACAGCTTGCGGTTGTAATTGTTATTAGTTAGGCTTTAATTTTACTGTACATCAGCTAGCAAAATGGGGCGGGGGTGCAAAAACTCCTGCTTAGGGTGCTCATAGGCTTATTCAGGCCCTGGAAACTTGTATAATTTTTGTTTGCTGTAAATGCATAAACTTTACACCACTTTAAAATAAGACTACCTTTCTACATTATTCACAAATGGTTTAAAATGAGTTTATTAATTTATTAATTAGGTCATAAAAATCTAAAATCATTAAGAAGAAGTTACAATGAATATATAAAAAGGGAAACGGTTACCAATTGTTTGGCTAATAGGGAAACCCTATTCATTTATATTGTTTATATTGATGTTCAATGATCTTACTTAGCTATTTGTCATCAGTCAGTATTAAACCTGTCAGCTTCATCACATTCATATTCATCAGATATCACAGCTCACTTTTGTCCTCTTTATTAATGTGTTATAACTCATTATTAATGCTTTTAAAGTAATTATAACCCAACTAATAGCTATTAGCAAACTCATTTTGAACCATTCATAAATGTTTAATAAAGGTTGTCTTATTCTAAAGTGGTACTGAGCACATTCAGACTGAATGTAACTGATCAGAGATGAGTTTCTCAGGCTTGTCTGACTACTAACTGCATCACCACACACACTCTCACAGTTCAGGTAAGAGCTCTACAGCCTTACATAACATTACCATGAAGATATTAGATAACTTAAATTCTTAGACTTTATTCTGTATGTATTCTTGTATGCAGGTCAGGACTTACCAGAGAGAAGAATCCAGATGACCACACAAAAGTAACTCATTTTGACCAGAAGTATTGTTATTACCAAAAGCCTCTGGTTTGTCCCTTGTCAGAAGCTGCCTGGTGGTTTGTTTGTGTCTCTGCTTGCTTCTTTGGTGTGGTGTTTTAATGAGGAACTGACAGATGAGCACCAGCCTCGTTTTGACCTTAACTAGAGATTACAGGCTTAAAGACAGGAAGCTCTCTCTATCTCTCTCTCTCTCTCTCTCTCTCTCTCTCTCTCTAGCTATCGCTCTCTCTTGTCAGTATTGTATGTCTTACATTGAATTATAATCATCACAATTGCAATTTCTATTGCATTTCAGTGCAACATCAGTTTTTGCTTTTCATAGAGGAGGGTCTAATAAAGGGTGAGTCTTCAGTACCTTTGGTTAGGGAACTGTACTACATGGTAATTACAGACGTTGGATGGACTCCACACGCCTTATCTTGACTCTAATCATTTTATTATGTGATTTTATTTTTTTTTTTAATGTTTTAAAATCAGGTATAAATATGCACATTTTCATCGGAAGAAATGTGAAGGTGCACAATTGGACCTTAAGAGCTTTGTTGTACCTTTTGAGAGTACATTGTTAGTAGGACTCATACACTGGAGTTCCTTAAAAGACGTTTCTGGTGGCCCAACCCTGAAATAGCTCTACAGGCCTATGTAGCATCCTGCCAGGTTTGTGTTTAGATCAAAGAGCCCAGAACTAAACTTGTAGGTCTGCTCCAACCTCTGTCAATACCATCCAGGCCTTGGTCAATGATCTCTATTGAATTTATCACTGGCCTACCACCATCTCAGGGCAATACAGTTATGATGGTTGTGGTAGATCAATTTTCCAAGGCCATCCTGTACACAACTTTTGTTTCCTGCTTCAACATGTTCATTATTGTATATGAATATATACATACTAAGTTATTATGTGAAATATGTGGATGCCTGGAAGGACGGACAGATTTACAGGCAGACTTAGAATAACACAGAACATAATATACAGATTAAATACACTTAATTATACAGTATTTTAACATGCACACAATGTAGACACATCAGTGCACAAACTTGACAAACTGCAGAAGAGAAAAACAGCTGAAATCTTTGTTGTTTGGGAGAAATTGAGTATTGTGCATTAATGTAGTTTGTGATACTTATACAAACTTTCTCTGAGCACATTCAGGCTGACTGTACACGGGCTTGTCTGGCTTGTTTACTTGTTAGCAGAGTCAGCTGCACTTTATCATTCTGCTATTAACTGCATCACCATACAGTCTCTCAGGGTTCAGATATGAGCTCTATCACCTCACTCAGCATTACCATTAAGATATTAGAGATGTAAACTACTTTGCTCTTAGATATACATTCTGTATGTATTCTTGTTTGCAGGTCAGGACTTACCAGAGAGAAGAATCCAGATGACCATACAAAAGCACCTCATTCTGACCATTCTGGATTGATGTATTCTCTTTCAGTAGTTTTGCTAACACCAGAAGCTTCTGGTGACCTTTCTGTGTCTTTGTTTGTTTCTGTATTGTGTCGTCTCGACAGCTGAACACCATCATTGTCTTAACCACAAATTTGTGGTTTAGACCAGGAAACAAGTTTCTCTCTCTTTCTCAGTCTCTCTGTCAGTACTGTATATCTTGTATCAGGCCACAAGGCTTTTAGTTTGATTTTGCATTGCCCCTTTAAATTTCAATATGAAATGAGCTTTTGTTTTACAGTATGTATGTAAGCGTCTTAACTGTCAGAATATCAATGATATGAAAAAATGTATACAGCCACCATGAAATTTTGTGTTAAGTTTTATTTTTAATATATCTTTGGTCAAATTTCTCCCACATTTAATACAAAAAAAGTGATTATTTGTATCAGAACTGTGAGCTCTGTAAAGTGCCAAGACAAATACTTTTCACATCTAACATACTTGGCAAAATAAATTGTTTCTGATTCTGACAACATTCTAGACTGTTACATATTGGCAAAAATTGCCACCTACAGGCCATTCTTGGTATTTCTGGTTTAGCATACAAAAACCTGTACATACACTATATGGCCAGAAGTATTGGGGCACCTTAACACCACATGAGCTTTTATAACTTCCCATTCTAAATCCATAGGCAATAATATACAGTTGGTCCCCCTTTGCAGCTATAATGGCTTCCACTCTTATGGGAAGCTTTCTACAAGATTTTGGAGTGTCTGTGGGAATTTTTGTCCATTCATCCAGAAGAGTATTTGAGAGGTCAGACACTGTTGGACGAGAGGGTCTGGCTCACAGTCTCTGTTCTAGTTCACCCCAAAGGTGTTCGTTGGGGTTGAGGTCAGGGTTCTGTGAGGGCCAGTCAAGTTCTTCCACACCAAACTCACCCAGCCAGGACCTTACTTTGTGCACTGGGGCTCAGTCATGCTGGAACAGAAAAGGTTCTTCCCCAAACTGTTCCCACAAAGTTGGAAGCATACAGTTCTCCAAAGTGTCTTGGTCTTAAGATTCTAGGCCAACCTCTGAAAAACAACCCCATATCATCATCCCTCTTCCACCAAACAGCTGGCACAATGCAGTCAGGCAGGCGATGTTCTCCTGGCATTCACCAAACCCAGACTCATCCATCAAAGTGACAGATAGAGAAGCGTCATTCATCACTCCACAGAATACGTTTACACTGCTTCAGAGTCCAGTGGTGGTGTGCTTTACACCACTCCATCCGATGCTTGGCATTGTGCTTGGTGATGTAAGGCTTACATGCAGCTGCTCAGCCATGGAAACCCTGCCATGAAACAGTTTCTGTGCTGATGTTGATGCCAGAGGAGGTTTGGAACTCTGCAGTTATTGAGTCAGCAGAGTGTTGGAGACTCTTATGCACTATGCTCCTCAGCACTCTGTTCAGGAGGAGATGTTTGTTTACTGTCTGAGACTCCCAGTAGTTTTATGTACTGCAATTTTTTTTCTAAATATTTTACAGTAAACATGCAAGTAGGTTTAAAAAGTACATGGATTTATTATGGGCATTTCCCCTAATATGAGCTACATTTGACACTCAAACATAAATGAGATGCTTTAACATCAGCATATCTGATTATACTTGATATCTCTAAGCTACATAAGCATGAGAAGATTCCTGCAGCATGATAAATAAGCAGGTTATCAGAGTGATTAGTAAGTATGTTAGTAGGCTGTACAGTAGAAGTTAGAATCTAGTCTTCCTTCAGGTGCTGGTGCTGTACAGCGGGTTCTTCAGAGTCTCTTCATGTGATTCCCCAGTAGATGATGATCTGTTTGGCTGGCTGTTCTTGAGATGTTCAGTAAAGACAGAGTGTAAGTTACTGGTTGATTCATTTATGTCTGAGGTAGATATAAGCTAATGTGTTTACATATGAGGTGTGTCTTTTACAGTACAATTGATTGAAGAAAGATCCTTTAAAAAGCTGAGGAAAGTGACAGCAAAATAACAGATATGCCACTAACCACTGAATGTAGACATTGCATGAAAAAAAACATCTAATTTTAAAAGCTATTCATGAAAACATGATGAAAATAGAACATACTGATGCACACTTACTTAAGTCCGAGGTTTCTTTACTTCAGTGTAGACAGTCTACGAACCAGAACCTGAAAAGTGAAAGAAGAAAAAAGAACTACACATACAGACGAAGGGTGTTTAAAAGAGGAGAATGACTGACTTGGACAATAAAATGCATACAAAAATAAATATATTTAAGTAGATTGCAATGTAATGTTATACAGTAAATATTTGGGCAACACTTTAGTATATGGGGTGTTATAATGCCATTATAATGCCCTTATTAATGTATAATAAGTCAGTCATTAACTGGCTGCTCATTAGTCCTATTTTAAGCAGTAACTAGGATGAATTAAACATTTTTCAGAGCACCTTTATTTGTATACATCATAATCTTGTGGACATGAGCAATTTAGTGGCCACTATGTATTGTTAGTATGTCTCATAAGGCCAACAACTAGTTTTTTTCAAGAGAATAATTGCTAATTATACTATATATTATACATTATAATCTTGTGTGCAACCCTTCTGAGCATTGGTTCTAGATAGAACATATAATGGCCACATCCAAAAATGTGATTTGCTAGCTAGCCCTCAACCCAACAAGGCATGTTCCTTAAGGCTCCTACTGTTTCTGTATTTGTACATCTTCTTGCTTTTTGGCTCTCAGCACATGATAAAATTGCACTTTGTTGCCTCAGGACAAAACATTTGGCTACCCCTGCAAAAGAGAGAGGGCTTGTATGAGGAATTTTGTCAGGTGATCATGTGTGTACTTACATTTGAATCTCCTGGTTGTCCATTTAAACTTATAAAGAGCGAGGATGCCCAGGCCAATGATGATCACTATGGCAACCAGCCCAGCAGCAGTGTACAGTATGACACCTGCATGCTCACCTTTACATGGGTTTAGAAGAACATTGTGGTTTACATCAGGCCTAGTTTACATCATAGCTTTACATCATACACACATAATAAAATACATCACCATGCCTTAAATATAGGCCAGTTAAATTTAGCAAGCTCTTCCACTATTAATAAATACATGTTCATTCTGATACATTGTATCCAGTCTTGGTTATGTAATGTCTAAACTGTAACAATAGCAGTAAAAAAAAATAATAATACTTAATAAAACATAATAAAACATAAAACTTTGGGAAATACTGGAAATTCCAAACGGGTAACTGATTTTATATGAAATTATGTTTTAAAAAAGCTGTGGAATAAAGGTAAAGTTACCTGTAGGTTCCAGGGAGAGTGACTCTTGAGCTGGAGATGATGCGGAGAAAGAGACTGTGGGTGGTGTGAACGTGGAGCGTTCACTAGATCTCACTGTCTTTACAGGAGCTGCTGCTGAAGTCACTTCTGGAGGGTATGTGAGGGGGGGGTTGCATATGAGAGAAGAAAAAGAAATATGATTTTTATGCATTAAAATGATCTAATATGTCCAGAATTCCCACTGTACAACTCATAATTCTTACCATCTGTAACTGAGAGTACTACTTTGCGATATGTGTCCTTCATATATCTCTCCACTCCACACCAGTAAGTTCCAGCGTCTGATTTCTGGAGGTCAGTGATGGTCACAGTGAAGACTCCTTTCCCTAAATCCTTCAGTTTGTATTTCCCAGTAGGGGGCTGGCCAGATTTAATCAAAATGTGCTGATCTTCTTTACATGGATCCCTGCAGAAATACTTGACGTTGTTGACAGCGAACTTGTGAGAACACTTGATCCTCACAGATCTTCCAACCTGTCCAGACAATGTCACATCTGATCCATCAACAGTTGCTTTTGTGAAAAATATACAGAGAAAAACAGAAGTAAAACCTGACATTAGTTTGTGTGACAAAGGGTAACACTTTCAAAAAGTGTTGACTTTTAGTGATGCATTTGTTACCATAAACAACACATGAGGCACTATGTTAAAAATGGTTAGCTACTATTACAAGTAAACAATGTAACTTCATTTGTTAGTATTGTTTTCACATTAAACGTTGATTAAAATTGATGTATTTTATTTTGAGGGTTAAGATTAGGGCCAGGGTTAGGATTAGGTTTTGGGTTGAGGTTGACGTTAAGGTTAGGACTAGATTTTGGGTTGAGATCAAGGTTAGGATTAAGGCCAAGGTGAGGTTTAGGATTAGGTTTTGGGTTGAGGTTGAGGTTAAGGTTAGGACTAGATTTTGGGTTGAGATCAAGGTTAGGATTAAGGCCAAGGTGAGGTTTAGGATTAGGTTGTGGGTTGAGGTTGAGGTTAAAGTTAGGGTTAGGATTAGGGCCAGGGTGAGGTTTGGGATTAGGTTTTGGGTTGAGGTTAAGGTTAGGATTAGGGCCAGGGTGAGGTTTAGGATTAGGGCCAGGGTGAGGATTAGGTTGTGGGTTGAGGCTAAGGTTAGAGTTAGGATTAGGGCAAGGGTGAGGGTTAGGATTAGGTTTTGGGTTGAGGTTAAGGTTAGGGTTAGGATTAGGGCCAGGGTGAGGGTTAGGTTTTGGGTTGAGGTTAAGGTTAGGGTTAGGATTTTTTTATGAATTTCAGAATGTCTTAGTATTTGAAATGTCCTTTGTTTTGATTTAATCACTGTGCACTTGAGCAAAGATGACCTATGAAATTTGACCCCTTTTTGTACAAAAACCTTAACATAGTGTGACAAATTTTCTTATATTTGCCTGGTGACCTACAGATCTTCAATATTTCTTGCTCATTTTAATTGTCATAACCTGATTTCTTTCAAAATTCTAAAATGTTGTGAATTTACAAGTTAAAAACAAACCAAAAAACAAACAAACAAAAACAACCTAGATTTTCAGTGTGGATTTTGTAGAAATGTGCAAAGGTATATGAACATAAATAAATGCAGCCTGATAATATATACGTGTAAGTGCACTGTGGGTATTATAAGAAAGTATTCAAGTACACCATTAAGGGTCAGCATGCTGAAATGATCTACCTCCGTCTTTATCTACCAGATAGCTTTCACACTTCCTCCTGGGTTTGTTCCCTTTATTCAGTTATTTGCGTATAACATCCTGTTTACATAGTCATCTTAAATTTGAAGCTTTTTGGTGTGAAATTGAAAGGCCTTAAGAAACTACTAACAGGATGGTGGTGACTAACATTATGCAATGGATTTCTTAACATGAACAACACACTAGTACATTATTAGCAATGTTTATCTAATATGAATTAAACAAGCAACAAAAGTATTCATTAACATTGTATTCACTTAATTATTCATATTACTGCATATTCAAATCATGATAGAAAAAAAAACAATGTAGCTTAACAGGCTATAATAACAAGTAAATACTAAATTAAGTGTCCCATATGGCAAAAAAAGGACATGTATTTTTTATATATTTAAAGTTCATGTTAAATACATTGCAGTCCATGCTGAAATATTCAAAATACTAAAATACTAAAATGTATTTCAGAATATATAGTCATATTAATCACATATATTTTAAAATACATTTACTTAAAAATCTATGCAACACATTACCAAAATAAAATATTACACATAGAAATTTACCATACAAAAATAAATGTATGTAAATTTATTGATCAAATATATTTGAAAATACATGAAAACAGCCAAAATACTGTCTAATGTACTTTACTGTCTGATACCCTTTGGAATGAATTTGTATTCCAATATCTTAATTTTAAATATTAGCAAATGAACCTTTAACATGGAAAAGTAAGTGCTGTGGGTACTGATATGATACTGAAAATGCAGTTATGATTTAATATCTTGTATATTTATGTAAAATTGAAAAAAATCTAATTAATAAAAAACACAAAATATGCATTTTGAAATATATATTTAACAAATACTTTTTTGGCCATTTTCATACATTGTAAAAATAAATTTGATAAATATATGAGGTATATATTTTTTCCATATGAGGTGTAAATACATATAAACAAATGCAGTGTGTAAAGTTTTTACATATCAGAAATCTTTGTGTGCATTGTGTATGATGCATACGAATATGCAAGGAAGTCATCATCAACATCCTCTTTACATAACATAAACTAGGATTTTTAAATATATATTTATTAATCATTATTTTATAGACAAAAATGATTTGTATAACCCAAATGTCCATCATAGACTTATTTCTTAGTAATAAAAACACGTAATTGTTATTTGTTTACTTGATAGTAGGTAACTGTTATCAATGTAGCATCTCATCAAAACACTTGCTTTACTTAATGTTAGGAAGTCAACAGTTACAGTGAAATGTTAACTAACAATGTTCAAATTCAATCACAAACAAAAGCATTTATTAATATTGTGTCAAACATTTTGTCATTTTCTCTGAATCATCTCACAAAAACATCAGTGCACTTTCAAGACAAAATCAACACAAACATTCACATACAGTGGTGTGTTAACTATGGAATATTGTTAGAGTTCCCAGGATTATTCCATACTAAAGCTTATTATTCAGTAACTACAGGGACTTCAATGCAAACTGGTTGTGCAATTCTTAGGTTATAGAAGTGTGTATTAAAACTTTGGCCTTTGAAGGGGTTAATGTTGTTTGCTATTACACAAACTTGATCTGAGCACATTTACATTAATAAACCATAATCAAAAATGAGTCACACCGGCTTTTCTGGCTTCTCTTCTTGAGTCAGCTGCACTCCTCTGGTCTACTTTTAACTGCATCATCAAACATTTCCTCTGAGTTCCCATAACAGCTCTACAGCCTTGATCAGCATTATTATCATATAACTGTGCAGTTCTTAGACTTCATTCTGAAACAGGTTTATGTATGAATTTAGGCCAGAACTTACCAGAGAGAAGAATCCAAGTGACCAAACAAAAATACATCATTTTGACTTCTGGAAATCAGTAGTGCTAGCTATTTGCAGGAGTGTCTTGTTTGACCCTTATCTGCCTGTCTGCCTGGTAGTCTGTATTTGTTTTTTAAGGGGGCGTCGTAATGAGGAAGTGATGGCTGAATACCAGCATTGTCTTGACCTTACATTAGGGTTTAGGCCAGGATGCAAGCTGTTTTGGCTTTCCACAGGATGATAATCCTCACAATTACATTTTATACTGAGTGTGAGATCAGTTCTTTACTTCTCACGAAGGAAAGAACACAGTGAGTGTGAAAGTGTTTCATAAAGGTTCAGCGTGTAAGTAAGTTTCCTTACTGTGAGAAAAACAATCAGAGAAAAAAATGTCCAGCCTTTATGATATCAATTTTTATTTGATAAAAATCTGTACAGGATACAAACTCAAGATCACAAGATCATACAAGATCAAGAATTCAGTGATTATTAATAAAATAACCACAACAGCAGTTTGGTCGGTAGCTTAGCTTTGCGAGCTAACCTGTTTTTTTTAATGTAAGTGTACCTCAGCGTGGCCTGGCCGTGATTTAATTTTGTTTCCTCTTGACCTACATTTTGTTCAGTTCTGTATCACTGGGTCGCCAGATAAAGCTTGCAGAGTCTCTGTTGTTTTTAACACACATCTGGAAAAAGACAAGGTCTCACTTTATTTCGATAGCCACAATAGAACCCTTAATTGGGAATTGAGGAGACCAACTGCTGTAGTTTTAAAATGATTTTTTCTATTCTTGCTTGACATAGGATGCTCATCAGTTTCTCCTTTGTCACATTTTTCATTTCATAATGCACCAAATGTTTTCAGAAATGACAGCTCTGGATCGCACACAGGCCAGTTTCGCTCTTTTACTGCAGAGCCACGCTGTTGTAATACGTTCAGAATGTGGTTTGGCATCGTCTTGCTGAAATAAGCAAGGCCTTCCCTGAAAAAGACACAGTTAAATAACTATACATTATTGGTTGGTTCATCAATGTCCTCTAGAGGGAGCCACACAAAACTAGGATATCTAAAGCAAATTTAGGGTTCTACTCCTCTGTGTCAGCAGTTTGATGTTGATTTGGTACATCGCATCAGATGTGGTTTCTCTTTCATGGTATGAGTGGTTAGATAAGAAAGATAAAGGGGTGAAGAGTCAAAACCTTGTCCACAAACAGCTCAGCTGAATTTGAGGAAGACAATGGATAATTTCAAAATCTGTTCATGAAAACACAATGAAAATAGCACCAGTCACTTCAGTCTGGTGGTTCTGCATTCCTGCATAGACTATATATGGACCAGGACCTGAAATAAGAAGTGAAAAGAGTTAAACCTATAGACCAGGGCTGCCCAAAGCAAGAAGACATTTGATTTGGCCTCCTACGGCCTCCCCACCTCCCCGTCAACCAATCTGAGAACAAAGGTACCCTTATGCAGTGTTTCTATATAATAACAACATTATTGTTATTGTGTAATAACAAAACATCTATGTTCTCAAAAATAAATATGGGGTTCTTTGGAGTGATGCCATAGAACAAACACTTTTGAGTTCCTTTAAGAACATTTCAATTTAAGGTATTTAAAGCCTAAAAATAACCCATATTCCATTTTTAAGGATGTGAGTGTAATGTTATACAATAAATGTTTTGGTAACACTTTAGAGTGGAGGGACATTATTATACCATTATAATGCCTTTATTAAGGCTTAATAATCCAGTAGCTGGTAATTGACAGCTCATTACTACTTTATTATTAGTAGTAGTAGTAAAATGGTGAATAGAGCATTATTTGTGTATTACATATCATAATCTTTTGCACATTACATTGTGGATGTCCACTAAGTCGAATCAAACTGATAGCTGGTAACGAGCTGACCACTGTCATCTATTTGCATATTGAGTGTTTCTTTACATTTGTTTTACCCACTGTCAGTGTGTTTTCATTCCACCCATTCCATTCCAAAATTGTAGTTATTCTAACCCAAGTGTTCAGTACACATTACTTGACTTTTTTAGGGCAACCAGTTTCCTCAGTTTTATTTTATTTTTTTTTAAGTAAATTCAGCTTATCCAGGTTTACAGTGTTCAGAGCAATGAAGAAATCTGATTACCATGGCAATCAGCCCTGCTTCAGGGTACAGTAGGCCACCTGTAAGCCTATGTAAAAGATCTGTACATGGGTATAGAAGAACATTGTGTTTTAAATCAAGATGGTCAAGATGGTCTGTGATACTACATTATAAAATACATCACCATGCCTTGACTATTGGCCAGTGGAGCTTTAATTACATTATCGTTTTAATCACCACCAAGTCTTGCTGATCATTCTCCTCACAAGGGTGAAGGTTCAGAGGAAATTACAAAGACCACGTTCTGCTTTGGGTCAGGGTGCACAGGATGGCTGCTAATTCTGTTTATGGTCACATCCTGTACACAACTGTTATTTCCTGTTACAACATGGTTCATTTTACTCTGTATGAATACAGTTACCACCTGAAACCTGTATGTGTTTGGTTTGCTGTAATTGCATAAAGGTTCTCTGACTGATTACAAATGATCAGAGATGAGGTTTTCAGGTTTGTCTGACTTCTTGTCTGACTAATCTAATCAGCTGCACTTCTCCGGTCTACTATTAACTGCATCTGCAGTCTTTCAGTGTACAGCTAACAGCTCTGCAGCCTCTCTCAACATTACCATGAAACCATTAAAGATAAACTTTTTAGCAGTCTTAGCAGTCATTCTGTATGTATTCTTGTATGCAGGTCAGGACGTACCAGAAAAAATTCCAGGTGACCACACAGAGGTACATCATTTTGACCAGCAGTATTGTTAAATCCAGAAGCTTCTGGGTTGACCCTTGTCCAGCCCTGACTGGTGGTTTGTATGTGTCTCTGGTTGTTTCTTTAGTTTGGCATCTTTATAATGAACTGACTACGTTGTCTTGACCTCAAATGAGTGGTTTAGCACCAGCAGCTCTCTCTCTCTCTCTCTCTCTCTCTCTCTCTCTCTCTCTCTCTCTCCCTCTCTCTCTCTCATCAGTATTATATTGCTTTTATTGCATGACAGTCCCCACAATTACATTTTAACCTATGCATTTCAGTGCAACATTAGATATTACTTTTCATAGAGAAGCCTGTTTTTTAAAGGGTACGTCTTCAGTACCTTTAGTTGGGGAACATAAGTGTGTACCTCATTCCATTGCAAGTCTATTTTGTTTAAGTTGCAGTGATTCCTGTCTTAATTCCAGGCATTTTACTTTATAATTCTCTTTTAAATCATTAGTTATACATTACCATGTTTGATAGAGTTTAATCTTCCAATACTGTAAATATTTTCCTAAAATTCAAAGCAAAATGCTGTTTAAAAATGTAAAACCTTACATTACAGTACACCTTAAAATACACCCTAAAATACAGAAAGTGCACCACACAAAACACAAGTTAACTTTTTCCTCGATTTATATCATTTACTTTATCATATACAACCCAAGCTGTAGAGCACATGTGTGAGTAGTTGTTTCTCTTCAGTGTACAGCAGGTTGCCCAGCCCATTATCCCTCCTCCACCAAACTTTACAGTTAACACTAAGCATTCTGGTAGGTAACATTCTCCTGGCATTCGCCAAACCCAGATTCAGACTGCCAGATAGTAAAGTGTGACTCGTCACTCCAGAGAACATGTTTCCACTGCTCCAGAGTCCAGTGGCAGCACTTTACACAACTCCAGCCCTCTCTTGGCTTTGTGCATAGTGATCTTAGGCTTGTGTGCAGCTGCACAGCTGTGGAAAGCCATTTCATGAAGCTCCCGATGTACAGTTCTTGTGCTGATGTTGTAGGCAATTTTAATTCACCACATGCTTTAGCACTCACCGTCCTCACTCTGTGAGTTTGCATGGTCTACTGCTTCATGACTGAGTTCTTGCTCCTCCCAGATGCTTCCACTTTACAATAGCAGCACTTACAGTTGACAGTGGCAGATCTAGCAGACCAAAAATTTCCCAATCTGATTTGTAGCAAATGTGGCATCCTATGTTAGTGCCACATTTAAAGTCACTGAGCTCTTCAGTACGACCTATTCTACTGCCAGTGTTTGTTTCTGAAGATTGTATGGTTATGTGATTAATTTTAATTTAAATTTAAGCATGGTCACAATAAGTGGGGCTGAAATACCTAAACTTAACAATCAGGAGGGCTGTCCATCCACTTTTGACCATATAGTGTATCTATGTGAGCAGATAAAACCAAGAAACATATATTTTAAACATATGACAAAGTTGTCACAAATAACCAGGGTTGGTATGTAACAGAATCCAGCCCACTGCATGCAACACATGGAATTCTGACTTATTCCACACTTTTAACATCCTTTCTACTAGCCACTGACCATTACAGCAGGAAAACTTATGTCAAAAGAGTAGAATAATTTAAGAAAACATTTTCTTATCCCCACAACTGAATGTTGGGCACCTACATTATGGCTTCTTGATCCTGTAACACTGTAGAGAACAGCCATGCCAAATACGTTCACCACACTGACCAGCCCCGCAAGCACATACAGCTGGGTCCCTTGAGTTCATAAAAAAAGTGAATTACATTGAGACTAGTCTCTGGAATTTTGTATAGCCACTAAGCAGTTCTTAACAACATGCTGGGTCAGCAAGGAAGTGGCGATAATGAAGCAGCCCTGAAACAGCTTGGGGTTAGCCCCTTAAATGGTCACAGCCATCAAGCTTGGCCAAAGTTTTATTACACACTTCTATAACCTAAGAATTCCCCCAACTTGTTGCTTTGAAGGGATTTTAAGGAGTCAAAGACAATAATTGACAATAGTTGTAACAATGGTTTAATCAGGAAATGGAATGCTATGGACAGCAGTATTGTTGTATGAATATGTTAATACCTATTTTATTTTGAATTCTCACCTTGTAATGTTCTATCTCTAAATACAGTACTATACACTGAGTTGCCAGTATATTAGGTACACCTATCTTGTGCCTGCACTCATTACCCATTTTAACAGGTACACCTGTTACTGTTGACACTATGAGCTTGTTTGCTGATTTGTGTATACTGACCTCTAATGGTTATTTTTTTTTAACATACCCCTAGTGTACTTGCAAAAATTTCAGTATGCTTTACAAGCCTGGAAGAGGAAAAACATTGGTTTATTGGTTTATTGTCATGACTCCTGCCGAGGATGCCTCCTCTGCCTGTTCTCTTTCTTTTGCAGGATACACTGCCTAGAGGACTCCAAATCCCATGAGCCAGTGGAAGATCACGTGACTCTCCACCTATCGCCGTCTACCAATGACATTCATTCCAGAGCTCCTTCTTACCAGACTTTAGTCATGGCAAAGCATTTCCAACTCCTTCCATTGTGTGCTGTGCATCTTTTGTCTGAAAAGCCTTTTATGTATTTAACCTGTTTTTATGTTTTTCTTTCATGTTTGCCCTTTTTTGGTTGGATTGATTTGCATTTTATGCTGTCTTGGATTGGTTCTTGGTTTATTTCTGGATGTTCCTCTCGTTTTGGTTATTCTGCTTCCTGGCACTGACCATAACACTACCAAACTATCAAGTAAACTTAAACTTTTTCTTTTTATTTGCACACATTTGATCTGCACTGACTTTATAACAGTTATGATGATATTACTTGCCTAATTTGTTTGTTTTGACTCATTCATTTTTGTTTCAGTGGCTCTCCCAAGTTTTTAACCAGCACTTGTGTCATTTCAGGTTAAGATAGATAGATTTCAGCTGAAAACGCCCATTAATGTTGATTCTGATAAGAAAAGCGTGGAGAAATGCTAGTGGCAGTAAAATGGAATATTTATGTTAAGAAAGATGCAATGATAACAGCAAAATTGTATGCTGTGGCATCAAAATAGGGCCAAAAGATCCAAAACTTAAAATGTTTATGAATGAGAGACCTGATGTCAATATTTTCAAGACAGCAGATTTTTTTTTATTTTTTCAAAATTAATATTTCAGAAACAATCTTTGATTTTATTCTAAGACTCACCCTGACCCTAATCCTAACCATAACCTTAACCGTAACCCAAAACCTAATGTTACTGAGAGTCTGTTGAGTGTTTCATTTAAAAATGACCATTTAAAATAAAGTGTCAACAAATATTTTATTGGATTTATACTCATCAAGTTTCTCTCCATTGCTGGTTAGGGCTTCAGGAGAGCAGGACAGGGAGTAAGAGAGAAGAAGTATCACTTGATCTGGTGTACATAATCCATTGTATTTAATATGGTAATGATTACAAGTCAACGTCTTTTCTAAACGACTAGTTAACTAGTTTAAATAAACAGCCATGTTTATCCCTAATAGATGCAGAACGTAATTGATAGGCAAATAGATCTTTTTCCTTGCCCTGATTGGTTGAATCAGTGGTTGTCCACTTCATTTTTGTTTTTATCTGAGCATACATTTTCTTTGCAGCTGCCAGAATGTGAGGGAAACTTTATGGGCTATTATTGATGACCAGTTAATATTCCAGTTCCACTTCTTTAAGGCAGCATTTGGTCACGCTGCAGGTGCTAGAGAGGTGAAATTCTATGCATACCTTATCAGAGGAATTTGAACAGAGCTCATGAAAGGAGCAGAAACTGAACACACTCTTAAACTTGGCCTCACTGTCACAAAGAGAAATAACACCTTGTCCCCAAAGTGTCACCAACACTCCCTCTCCTCGCCATTAGCTTTCATCACTGTGGAAATTCTTAGTTGACACTCAAGAATGAGGGTCTTTTGCTTTGTTTCAAGTATCATGGCCTTAATTCTGTAACATGCATGATGACCAGTTTGAATCAGCGTGCAAAGTCCTAACTGATGTCAATAATTAATGCCTACTGCTTTGTATTGATTATCATGACATTAATTCTTTAACAATCAAATATCACCACCCATTCACCACTCCTTTTAGCACTTGTAGCTTTAAAACAGCTCAGAGAGAAGCCAGTCTAGTTTGCTTATGTGAGAGAGATCAAAAGAACATTTTCAATGACTTAGGGCTTCTATGAATAAACAGCAAAGCTAGATAACACTTCTGCTTCATAATCTGCTTCCTTATGATTACTTAATTATTATCAAGCAATTAATAATTAAGATTAGATTACCCTTATTAGTCCCACAACAGGGGAATTAATCTCCGCATTTAACCCAGTTGTGTAGTCAAACACCCACATACCCATTAGTGAATGCACACACTAGGGGGCAGTGAACGCACCCACCCGGAGTGGTGGGCAGCCCTGTCCACAGTACCTGGGGAGCAATTGGGGGTTAGGTGCCTTGATCAAGTCATGTACTGTCAGCTCAGGGGTTTGAACCAGCGACCTTCCAGTCACAAGGCTGGTTCCCTAACCTCCAGCCCACGACTGCCTGTGTAAATAAAACATATCAGTTGTAAGCAAGCTTATAAATGTGTTACAAATGTATTTATATGGCATGTTAATAAGGTCTGCCCAATGACTGCTGGGCTAGGCTCCAGCACCCACCTGACACTTGGAGACTGAGCACTTCCAGAGAGAGCGAGTCCAATTGTGCTCCCTTGGACTCCCAGCCGCGGATGGTTGTAGCATCACTGGGGATCAAACTCATTCCTGATGATAGGGTCAGCACAAAGGGGGTTCATCATCATCCATATGATCACTGAGATTTTTAAAGGAAGAGCTTACAAAAATACACAAATTACTTGCAATGTGCTAAATTAAAATATCTTTAATAATAATTACTTGCCCATATTCCTTGATTTACATGTCATACAAAGACATTACAAATACATTTTGAACTGATAGACTACAATTAATTAATAATAATTAACAATAATTTCTCAACAAACATTTAATAGTTAATTTACAGAAGACACTTTTACCACATTATGTAAATACATTTATAACACATTTGTAAGCTTGCTTACAGATGTTATGTTTCTAATTATTATTGCATTATTACTTGCTTGCTAACAGTTAAAAAATTGTTAAGAAGCAGACCTTAAATAAAGCATTATCAAATGCTGTATGGGACTATTAAGGCTCCACAGCGTTCCAAGCACATAAACGTGTGTGTGTATATATATATAATATATATATATATATATATATATATATATATATATACACACATCCACCTGCACTGCATTCTCTTTTAATAATAGTAAACTTTTCAAAGACTCAGTTTTGTGATTGGATGTTCTTTTGACTACTTTTCTGTTTTTTGTGCCCCTGGATTTGACCATTGTTATTTAGATTGTTAAGTGTTGGATTTTAACTGTTTTTGGTTTTTAAGTTTTGCGTGGTGATTTCTACCAACAAATTCTAGATTTGCATCCACCTTCTTCCTTCCCAGCATTTCTACTTTTTTATTTCTCAGTGCCAAAGCTACTTTCTTTTTATGACTGCAGTCACACTGGACATTTCTAGAATGAATTAATCATAGGCCAGAAAAAGTAACCAACTTAACAGATGGTGAAAGAGTTTCACATTTTAGAATTACAGATTTTCATCTCTGTGACCTCAGAACACACACCCAGCTTTTAGATGCAATCCAGCCATGCTGAGGAGTGTAACACACGAAAACCAGGATGTAAGGGTTCTGTGAATGTAGCACAGAATGTGTACAGGTGTTTCAGTGCTTTTGTGTCAGGGGAGACATTATAGAAGGACAATGTTCCAGCTTCCCAGTCCAGAAACACTCCGATTTTTGTAGAGCAGTGAACAGACATGTATATGCTTTTCTTACAGTGCCAAGCAGTATAACTGTCGTGAGAGCAGTAAAGTTTCCAGGACTCTTCGTTGTGTCCCAGCCAGCAGTCTTCCCCTTGTCCCCCTCGCCGTATTCGCTTGTAAGCCACTCCAATATGAACTCCCTCTCCACTCCAGCCAACCTCCCAGTAACTCCGTCTGGACAGAGCCTCTCTACAAAGCACCTGCTCCTTGAATTTGAACCTGTTTGGGTGCTTGGGGTGCTTCTGTTCTTCGTCCTCCCATGTTACCTTCTTGTTACCCTCTGAAAGAGAAAGGTGTTGGTGCGCTGTGGTTGAGTCCAGTGTGAGCTCACAGGCATCTGGGGGGAGGGAGCAAGTGAAAGAAGCAAGGGTCCATATATTTGAAAGTTAACATACCAGAAATTCTAAAACAGTTAAGCTTTCTGACCGTATGCAATATTGTGTGCTGTACTTCTTGAAATCTACAAAGTACTAAAGCTCCAAAATGCAGTTAAAATATAAAAAATATGCCCAGGCTTTTATATTAAGGACTAAATTCTTAATAGAATACAAGATCTTTTAAGACCTTTTCAGACCTTTTCATGACTTGTTCATTGCAAAGTCTTTCAGTTATGAGCTTTTTTCTAGGCTTTCTGTCCAATCTTTTCAGCTATTTTAGTTCATGATATCTATTTGATGGAATTTGACTCTCTGTTTTGGTGTAAAGAACATAAAATTCCAAAGATCAGCTAAGATGCATTCAAGCTTATTTTCAAAAACTTTGCTTCAATTATGTTTTTGTTATGTGTGTTAGGTTTAACTGCTCACTGAAAGCAAGCTAATATATGACACTTTATGTATATGCTGTCCTACAGATTCAAATTATAAACAAACACTCAACATTCTGATTTGAGTTTAAGCAGAACTAATGTCAAAAACATATTACTGTATGCCTTCTAAACAAGTAAACAAGTAACTGCTCACATTTCCGGGGGCCAGTCAGCATTCTCAATGGTCCACAATAGTCAAAACTGTAAGCAAGATAAAACATATAAACAATAAACAAATATGTAAAAATACTAAAGATTAAGCTAAAACACAGTGCCATATGTATGGCCAAATTTGGGTGCACATATAAATCACATCATGGATGATTTTACGCATCGTGAAAATTAACGCCATTGCAGCTGACAAACCACTGTTTGAAAAGACTCAGCAAACAGTCATATCATCTTTAGGGTCTTTAGTCCCAAATACATACATTTAAATATTCAATAAAGGAGCCCCAATGAAATAGACAATATGATGAAAAATCATATTGCTGTGGTTGAGTGAAGAGTAACCCATAACAGGGGTTCTTAACCTGGGGGTTGGGATGCAACAGTGGTGCTACAAGACATATACCTTCTCAAACACAGAGAAAGGGTTTTGACAAGTGCATACAAGCTCTGCTGAATGGCTCCACCTACAGGCCATGGAAGACAAGCTAATGTTGATAATGAATTTCTTTGGGGTGAGGTCTTGATTGCTAAACACAAACTGTACCACGAGCCCTCCGAGCTTTGAGTAAAGCTTGACTTGACCCGCCATCCTTCAAGACGCACAGAAGACAAGCATCAAGACTTTTCTCTGTACTGGCACCCAGGTGGTGGAACGAACTCCCACTGGCTGTCCGAACAGTAGAGTTTCTCACTGTCTTCAAATGCAGACTGAAAACACATCTCTCTTAAATGAACACTGAGTTAAGTATTCATTATAATGTATTGTACTGCACTTATTGAAATGTATTGTATTGTATTGTATTGTCTTGCCCTGTGTTGTGTTTAACTCTGTTCCTTTTTCTCTTGGTATCAACAAGAGTTTTGTTTCTGGCAGTACCTGAGCTCAGGACCAGCTTTCTCTCTAACCTATTGGTAACTAGCAAAGATACTTTCTCTAGTTCTGGATAAGAGCGTCTGCAAAATGCTGTAAATGTAAATGTCTTTAAGCATTTTTTCAGTGCCATGCTAAAAAAGGTTGGTGGTTTATGGTGAAGTGCTAGCTAAGGAATGCAGGGCCATTAAGTAAGTAGTTATTATTTGATTATTCTTATGTAATTTCTTTAATGTGTGTACTGGTATGTGTAGGGGTAGAAGGGGCTGGAAGAGGTGGCAGGTTGGCAAGTAGGAGGTTGTAATTTATTCTGAACACCAAAAATGGATCACACTGTATACAGGACCCCAACCCATAAGCATTACAAATATCTTGTAAGCAATGTAAAAAGTACTGGGGAAGGAAAGAATCGACTTACTTGAGCTTTTCAAGTTTACAATTCAGATCATCACGTCTATCATTCAGCAACTGCACTCCGGCATCTCCTGGGTTATTGTAACTCAGATCAAGCTCTTTCAGGTGCGAGGGATTGCATTTCAGGGCTGAAGCCAGAGAAGAACACCCTTCATCTGTGACTAAGCAGCCAGATAACCTGCACGAAGAAACATAGTCTTTAATGCTGAGCACTAAAAATATGTATTAAAGTTCTCAGAAATTACTTCATTTTCCCCAGTTAACAGAACATTGCAGACCAGTGCAGGCATCTACCTCAATGTCTCCAGCTTACAATGTGGATCCTTGAGACCGGCAGCAAGCTTATTTACTCCAGAATCCTGCAGGTTATTGTCACTGAGATCCAGGCACCGCAAATATGATGACTTTGAGGAGATTACAGAGGCAATTCCTTCACAACTTGCGTTAGTGAGGTTGCATCGGTCCAGTCTGTTAGAAAAGTAAAACTTGTTCATGGATTCAGTATAATTGATAATTGATATATGTAATCAGGTGTTATCCAGCATACATAGAAGAAGAGGATCAGGATCTGTACAGTGTGACAATATTGTCAAACATCTAATAATCTATGACTTTTAAATTACTTATCAGACATATCTGAGAACTATGAGCATGGTCCTAGTAATAGTCTCTGATGAGCATAAATGATTGAGATCCCTTAGTCCAACACTCTCAGCCTGCTACATTACTAAAGCAAAACTAAACACAACAGTGCAAACGAAGCAGGGAGAAATGAGTGAAACAGCATCTACATATTCAATTCTTGTACCCCACTCAATAAAAGTCCACTCAATAAAACTGTTGTCTAGCTTTTAAACAGTGATGTCTTAAGACTCCAGTTATCTTTAAATTTACTAAAATCTTTGATTTATTTGGTCAATTTGACCCCAGCAATTTAAACCTCAAATTTCAAAGTTCCAGTGGAAATTATGTTTTCCCCTTCCCTGTGTAATGTGGTTCTTACACTACTACAGGTATGGTTATTTTAGGTTAGGACTCTAAAGCAGAAGAATGTTTAAAGACTATGGAATTGCATCTCATATTAATCTTAATATAATCCATAACAACCAAAACAAATGTGTGAAAAAGTTGATATTTCTCATTTTGTATAGAGCTAAAACAGCCTGGGGTCAAATTGACCCCAGGGAATACTGATGCATACAAAATGTGTACAAGACATTGAAAACATATCTTGTTAGTTGTGTGTTTACCCAGTTGTCCCCATTACATTAGTAAAGATCATTAAATATGAAGGAAAAATGGTCAAATTGACCCCAAAAAAAACAGGATTGTTACAAGATTGTAAAAAAGGGTCTTATTCATGTTACTGCTGGATGTGCATCCAAGTAATATTGTCATGGCCAAATGACCTAACACATAGATGAATAAATGGTCTTGGTATCTCAGTTATCCTTGCTATGCTTTTCTTCATCATGAGCTTGTTCTTGATACATCAAGAGACAAGAATTGGGAATTTAGTGGACAACTGAAGCTTACTTACAAAGACTGGGTAGAATATCCAACAACAGGCAGTAGTCTCCTTAACCCTTTATCTGCTTGTGTGTATTTCTTCAAGTCAAACAGCTTCTGGGTGTCCTCTGAAGTCATCAATAGAAATACAAGAGCAGACCACTGTGTGGGAGACAGCTCCTCAGATGCAAGGCTTCCCTGCCTCACATAGCTCTGAACTTCTTCCACAAGTGAGTCATCTTTTAGCTCGTTCAGGCAGTAGAAAAGATTGATGCTTCTCTCAGGCGAGATGTTTGCTCTGATTTTCTCTTTGAGGTGCTTGATGGTGTCTTTGACATGCTCTTCACTTTCCTTAATTTCTGGCAGGAGATCTCTGACATGGTCCTGATTGGATTTGAGAGAAAGACCCAGCAGGAAGCGGAGAAACAGGTCCAGGTGGCCATTTTTACTCTGCAAAGCCTTGTCCACTGCAGTCTTGTGTAGATTGAGCAGAGTGTGTTGGAAAATCCATTTGAACTTCCCTGTAAAACTTTGCAGGACAGGATTCCTCTTGTAATTTCTGTGTGCATAAAACACATAAACAGCAGCCAGGAACTCTTGGATGCTGAGATGTACAAAGCTGAAGCACTTCTTTTCCTGCATTGTCCTGTCCTGCCGAAAAATCTGTGTGCAGACGCCAGAATACACTGAGGCCTCGTTCATGTCGATGCCGCACGCTCTTAGGTCCTCTTCGTAGAATATTAGATTCCCATTTTGCAGTTGCAGGAATGCCAGTCTTCCCAGTTTCAACACGATTTTGTTTGTTTTATGGTATTTTATCTCTGTCTGTCTGGTCTGATAAATAAGGAAGCTTGCATACATCCCTGTCAAAGTGGTTGGGATCTCCTGATGGTCGCGTTGACAAAGCATTGTTTGAACCACAGTGGTGAAGATCCAGCAAAAAACTGGTATATGGCACATAATGTGGATACTTCTTGATGTCTTCATGTGGGAGATGATTTTGCTGGCTTTATCCTTATCTCTGATTGTCTTTCTGAAGTACTCCACCTTCTGTTTGTCTGAAAAACCCTGGATTTCTGTGATTTGATTGAAATACCTGTGAGGGACACGACTGGCAGCTGCTGGACGAGACGTGACCCAGACCAGAGCAGAAGGAAGCAGCTCTCCCATGATGAGGTTAGTGATCAATGCATCCAATGTTGTGTTTTTCTCTACATCCCTGACAAACTCGTTCTTAGCAAAATCCAAAGGAAGTCGGCTCTCGTCGAGCCCATCGAAAATAAACAGCACTTTACTGTCATCAAAGGTGCTCTCGGAATTAAAAAATTCAAAATGTTGACCGAGCAGCTGTATTAGGCTGTAGTTTCCAGTCATTGAATTCAGTCTACGGAAAGCAAAAGGGAAGATGTAGTCAATGTTGCAATTAGCTTTGTCTTCTGCCCAATCTAAAATAAACTTATTCACCAAGACTGTCTTTCCCACACCAGCGATTCCCAGTGTCAGCACTTTCCTGACTGGTGTCCTGTCTTCAGGACGCGCTTTGAAAATATCACTGCTTTTGATAGTGGGTTTTCCTGCAGTGCCTCTGAACAATACCTCAATCTGCCGAACTTCATGCTCAGGATAGACCCCACCTGTGCCTCCCTTTACAATGTAGAGATCTGTGAAAATCTCATTGAGGTATGTGGAAGGCTTGTCCAATGAAGGCCCTTCATGGATTGATTCATATTTTGTCTTCAGTATGTTTTTCAATTTCTCCTTTGCAGTCTTAGATTTCTTTGCTAAAGAGGTACAAATAATAAACAAATTATTTTAGATGAACCTTCAGATAAAAGGACATGTAATGGTCCCAAATGCTTATTTTCTTATTCTAAGTTTACCTCAGTTCAAGGTTAGATTTTAAAAAAGAGTGCTTCATATTCTTTTATTTTTTTTTAATATTTGCCCTATTTGGCTCTAAAACAAATCCCAAATTTTGAATATTACTAGATCTAGAATTTTGGTAATCATGCTAGAATGATTGAACTGAGACAAATATATACAATATAAACATAATAAGTGTAATATTTTGCTTTTTGTATTTGAATGCATTATGTAGCTTCAGGCAAAATTAGTATTTCTTATAAAAATATATGGAAGACTGTGTAGAACCTAAATTTAGCAAAACTAATTTTGAAGACAGACTGAATATTTGACATAAAAGTGCATCTTTACATAAAGTATTCTGCTATCTTTGGTGCCACTAGAAAGTTAACAAAGATTCATTTACAGTAATATTGTTAAAGCGTGAAACATACCATGGAAATAGCTTTATTTGTCCCCATTGTAGTCTCAAGTTTCTCAGCAAGATTATTCTGGTTCATTTTCTTCAGGATCACCACTGCAATTTCAAGAGCACCACTGTCCTTGTAGCTTTGACACATCCTGTCCGAAATACTGATTCTATTGCCTTTCAGATGGGCTTTGGGTATCGGAGCGAACTGTGGGAGATTAGGTTGCTGAAGATGCCATTGAAATCTCTCCAGGTCTGCATCGTCCAGGTCTTCTAAAGCTTTAAGCAGGATCTCGCGAGTTGACTCCATCTCAGCTGGGAGCACACACAAACAGCAAGTGGAACAAAACGTGCAACATTATTTTTACTGTCATTTTAATGTAGGCAATTAGATAACCAACAATATACATTCAGCTTGTGATAGCTTTGATAATGAACATACATGTTAAAGTATGAATATTAAAAGCATAAATTATAAAGTGCTGTTGTTCGCTAAGATGCTTCTATTCCAAAGTTTTGACATTGCATTACTGTTTGAGGTTTTGCATAAATGTGTCTGGCATTTATTTTTTGCATCTTGACTTTGGTCCAAAACCAATACCAATCTAATAATTCTTCTTTAGAATCTAAAAAGCTCTAAAATTAGCTTTTTTAAAATATAAACTGGTGTCCTGTCTTGAGGATGTGCTTTAAGAATATCATTGCTTTTGATAGTGGGTTTTCCTGCAGTGCCTCTGAACAGTACTTCAATCTGCCAAACTTCATGCTCACCAGTGTAGACCCCACCTGTGCCTCCCTTTACAATATAGAGATCTGTGAAAATCTTGTTGAGGCATGTGGAAGGCTTGTCCAATGAAGGCCCTTCATGGATTGATTCATGTTTTGTCTTCAGTATGTTTTTCAATTTCTCCTGTGCAGTCTTAGATTTCTTTGCTAAAGAGGTACAAATAATAAACAAATATTTTAGATGAACCTTCAGATAAAAGGACATGTAATGGTCCCAAATGCTTATTTTCTTATTCTAAGTTTACTTCAGTTCAAGGTTAGATTTTGAAAAACAGTGCTTCATATTCTTTTATTTATTTATTTATTTTTAATATTTGCCCTATTTGACTCCAAAACAAATCCAAAATTTTGAATATTACTAGATCTAGAATATTGGTAATCATGCTAGAATGATTGAACTGAGCCAGATATATATATATATAGTGTATAAACATAACACAAGTGTAATACTTTGCTTTTTGTATTGGAATGCATTATGTAGCTTCATGCAAAATTAATATTTCTTAAAAAAATATATGGAAAACTGTGTAGTAATAATTTTGAAGACAGACTGAATATTTGACATAAAAGTGCATCTTTACATAAAGTATTCTGCTATTTTGGTGCCACTAGAAAGTTAACAAAGATTCATTTACAGTAATATTGTTAAAGCGTGAAACATACCATTGGAAATAGCTTTATTTGTCCCCATTGTAGTCTCAAGTTTCTCAGCAAGATTATTCTGGTTCATTTTCTTCAGGATCACCACTGCAATTTCAAGAGCACCACTGTCCTTGTAGCTTTGACACATCCTGTCCGAAATACTGATTCTATTGTCTTTCAGACGGGCTTTGGGTATCGGAGCGAACTGTGGGAGATTAGGTTGCTGAAGATGCCATTGAAATCTCTCCAGGTCTGTATCGTCCAGGTCTTCTAAAGCTTTAAGCAGGATCTCGCGAGTTGACTCCATCCCAGCTGGGAGCACACACAAACAGCAAGTGGAACAAAACGTGCAACATTATTTTTACTGTCATTTTAATGTAGGCAATTAGATAACCAACAATATACATTCAGCTTGTGATAGCATTGATAATGAACATACATGTTAAAGAATGTATGTTGAATATTAAAAGCATAAATTATAAAGTGCTGTTGTTCGCTAAGATGCTTCTATTCCAAAGTTTTGACATTGCATTACTGTTGTAATGTACTGAGGTTTTGCATAAATGTGTCTGGCATTTATTTTTTCATCTTGACTTGGTCCAATACCAATCTAATAGTTCTCAGAGAGCTAATTCAGGGTAGATCTGGATGCAGCATCCTACCATCTATCTATCTATCTATCTATCTATCTATCTATATATATATATATATATATATATATATATATATATATATATATATATATATATATTAAAGGAGTTTATATGTGTACAACTGTTAAAAGCTGTGTTTGCTAGTCATGTACTGATCATCATTTTCGAGTTCTACTCATTTTTGGCTAAAGTTGTCACAACGGAAACACTCACTACCAAAACATTTCTTATGGTTTCAGTAGCGTTATATTTGTTTTAGTGACAAGATGGAATGTTCTATCATTTGATCTAATAAAATCAACATAATTAAAGTATAGGAACACTCAAATTAAAAAAAATAAAATCTAATGGTCTAAAGTCCAAGTCACTTAAAAGTCTCAAATGTGTTTTCAACTATGACTTTGGCCCAGTTTGGCAGAATGATCTATAAACAGTACTATTTGAGTTTACGAAGGCTTTAACATGTTGGGAATTTCTATTATGTGACATGAAATGCGATCAGATTTTAAATATTAAAACAGCTAAACACAGAACACAAGCGTTATTTTCTTTCATTTTCTTTCCAACATTCTCACTAATATAGGCCTATGCTTGTTTCATTTTTTTATCATGATATACTGTTAGCTTAACTCTTTTTGCCATGTTGTCTTATCTCACTTCACAAAATATTTGGTGGGTCACAGGGCAGAGACTACCTCTACATGGGGGTCCTGTTATAAGCAAGTTTGGGAACCCCTGCTCTGCAGAACACTCACATCGATAAAAAGTGACATTGCAGAAAGCTACACTTTGTTTGTATATCTTCTCTGATATTGTGTGGTGGGAAACTTTACTGCTCTGTGCAGTTTGCTGTGTGGCTTTGTCTTCCTGTGGTTTGCCACTCTCTCAGTCTTGTAGAGACACGTCAATGTGCCTCTTGAAAAGTCTAGTAATATGCAGCAATTGAGTCATCAGTTGACTTAAAATTCATGTTTACTAAATGAAGTTGCTGTGTCAGTGTATGAACCTGCAATTTAAACACAGACCTAAAGCTTATATAAAGTGTAGAGATGGCATGCAACCACTGCCACTGACATTGAAACCTTGAGTACAGGCCTATAGTAATCCAATATTTTTTCTTAAAAAACATTTTAAAGATGAGCTATTTTTAATTAAGGAACTTCACTTATAATGATGATCTAAAACTGGGCTATGCTGAAACTACTCAGTCAATCTATAAACCTCACAGGAAGAACCTCACAGTGGGTGGTGCTATTTCAAAGTAGATTTGTTACACAGTTGGTCCATATTAATTCTTTTTTTATCCCTCTGATATCAATCTGATATTTAATATTTTCTGTTATTTTGGCCTGATACTGATACCCAGTGTTGGATCTGTGACATATCTAATTATAAGTCATCAATTTAGTCATTCATCAAATCAATTTCACTGTAAAAACTGATATTTTGGCAAGTGAAATCTTAAATCTAATCAAAATTACTAATATTAATCATTTTGAGGCTCATCAATTGGAATTGCATTGGCAGGTTCTTCAATTGTTCTGTTGTTCCATTATACAAGCAAAATTAATTGCAATTTTTTAATAAGCAAGGTATTTGCCAATGTAATACGACACATACTCTAGATAAAGCTGTAAACTTTTCAATGCATCACAGATAACAAACTTACCTGTTTATTTTGATGGGGTCCAAATCAGCTTGAGCTCTGCTCTTCGTGACAAGCAGTGCTCTTCCTTGTCTGAAGGTGTACAAGAATAGCAGGCTTGCAAAATTGCATACAAAACCTCAACTGATGCGACAGCTCAGTATCTAACTAAAGCAACCCCCACTTCCTGTCACGACTGACGAAGTGCACCGACATAGGATTTCCTATATGTATGCAATCTTGTTGTGCTAGTTTTTACAGCAGCCACTTTGTGTTGTGTTTGCTGTATTTTCATGTCATGTTAATTCTCGGTGTGCAAGGCATGGGTGAAGACTTTCAACCTCAAACTTTCCAGTGTTTGCAAGAGATACATTGTTTGATTAATAGTTATGAAAAATGCGTTGTAGATTGTAGTTCATGATATTTATTAGAATTGGACATTACAAATGATCACAGTATAAAAACTATCCACTTGCAAAATTACTTTTTACAAATTACCCCACTATCACAGTGGATTGTAATAGTAGATGGGGTAGATTATAACAGTAATTGAAAACCTGGTAACACTCTATTTTGAGTGGTCATTTGTAGATAATTAATAAACTCTTACCAGAGTATGTGTAACACATGAACAACATAACAGTGAAGTAGCAGTAGTGAAGCATCTGAATACATTGAGGTAAATATCTTGTAGATGTGCTGTAGATACATTACTTACATTATGTACTTCCATTGTTAATAAGTTATTTCCATTAAACAAAACCTAATCCTAACCTAACCTTAAACTCAACCCAAAACCAAATCTTAACCCTCACCCAGGGCTTAATCTGAAACCTAACCTTAACTTCAACCCAAAACCTAATCCTAACCCTAACTTTAACCTCAAGGTCAGGCCCAGTAAGTTTAGCTTTGTTTGCATCACATGATTTCTAAGGATATCTGTTTTTAGTAGGGTTCTTTAGTAAACAAAATGCTTCTATATAGAACTATGAACACTCAAAGAACCCATAATTAAAGGGTTGCGTTATAAATGTGTTCTTCAGATTGACAGAGAATGTGTTGTGGATGGTTCTATGTAGAACCTTTTTGAAAAGGGTTCTATATAGCACCAAAAAGGGTCCTGCTATTGTTACGAGCTTGACATCGTAACAATAGAAGAATGATTTCTGGTGCTATACAGAACACTTTTTGAAAAGTGTTCTACATAGAACCATCCACAACATAGATCCACAACTCCCTCACACTGCACCAACTCCCCCACAGCCCAGCATGGAATAACATTAATAACACAACAATCTTAGACTGAACAACAGCAACATGAATATTAAATTTCTCTCCTTATTGGGAGCGCAGCGCCTCCCAAGTGCCTATTCGCACATCCATTTTACATGGACATGCTCCTATGGCAGTGTGCCACATAGCCCCCTGTAGCACAGCATGTGCTACCCCGGGCTCAAAGAGGACACTGGAGGCAGGGTTCAGGGTTGCAGCAGCCATTTCTTCAATCGCACACCGAATTCAAACAAACAATACAAAACAAAACCAAAAGGTTTGCTGGCCACTTTTCAGTGGCTTCAGTCAGCTAGACTTTTCAGTCTCTTACTCAAGCTTTTCAGCTCTTCTCTTGCTGCTGCTTGTCCCTCTCTCCCGCTCTGTTCCCTCTCAGCTCTTTTAAAAGGGACTCAGGCTGCCAGCCAGATCAGCATCAGCTGGCTTTCATTAAGGGCAGCGTGAGCACCTGAGCCGAGAGGGAACGAGAGCTCGGTGCTCTGCCTCCCCGTCACCACCCCCATCTGGCAGCTTGGCCGCCCGGGTCACGTAAGGTATCCTTAAGGGGCCTCGCTGCTGCACAGGGGGCGGGGCCAGGGTGGCGGAGCTCGGGACTCGCTCCTTGCATTGGTGCCTCTCGTGGCGAGAGCTGGTGCCTCTCGTCTCAGAGCGTTGCCGGAGATCCATGATCAACGCTGCGAGGCCACCATGCCGCACCACCAGGCAGGTCCTAACTGCTGGCTGCTGTCCAGGCATCCTTGCTGCTGTCCTCCAACCAGCCTTCACTGTTGAGCTATGCCATGCTGTCTCTGCTGTTGACCCTCACCACATTGTCCCCTTCAGGGAACAGTGTCTTTGGCTGGGCTCTGATTATTTCACTGATCGCCTTTAACTTCGTCGAAGTGCCATTCCTCTCAAGGTGGCTGCAGGGCACAATCCCACTTCTCAGGAGCCTCTTCGCACAACCACTTTACATGGTCACACCTCCCGAGCTCCTTCACCTGGTTAAATGTGTGACATTACAGTGAAATCAAGTGTGAGTTTGTTTGTATTTACCTCCTTGTTACTCCAAATAGTTATTAATGTCTCAAATATGTGACATTTTGCTATGTCCGTTATCAGTTTAATAGCTAGAACCTGTTAGGTGTTTGGCTGTAATTCAGTTAGACTGTCTTGGAATTTATCATCATGTAACCTAAATAATAATTTTAGTGCCTTACAGTGTGTACTTCACACTTACCCAGCCAATATCTAGAACTTGAGAGAGCATTGCCAGTTTTGTAAAATAAAAAATACAGAGAGGAAAAGGCCAAAATAAAAGCCAAACTAACGCATCGGCTTCAACCATGTTCCCAACTGACAATACACCATTATTCTCACACTGAAGTAGGAGATAAAGCTTTAAGGTTTGCAACCACAAGAGGGGGCCCAAGAGGCTCAGCAGGCACAAAGGTAGAAAGTGATATTTTTTCTCATAAATCATTGATACTCCTCAAATTTACCTACTTCACAAGCAGGAATAAAAAACATATGTTTAATTCAAAATAGTAACCAAAATTTAGTCATTTTAATGCCATGCTAGATGCTAATGCTGCAAATGCTCATTAAAAATGGGAAACTCTCCAATTCAGAGCCTCTTACTTCCCATCTCAAAGTGTTCATGCAATAAAAAATGAATATGCACAGTAAGGCTGCCACCTGTTTGGCTGCTGTGGAAATATTAAAAGCTCTTAAAAAGAATTTGCATTGGAAATCAAGAGTTGTTTAATGCTATTTTTAATGTTGATGTAGGCAGCGCATGAAGGCATTCTATTGTTAATCATTACTAACATCAAAGATCTTCACAGTTATTAAAAATATATTTCTTGTAATTACTTAACCTTCCAGGCATCCAAATATCCTTCTGTATGTATAGCTACATCATACACTAACGAGATGTTATTCACAATAGAAAGTTCAAAGTGAAAGATTCTTGTTCTTTGAGCACCGCTGTGTTAAAATTAAGAAGTCTGTTAAGAATCTGTGAGTTGGAGAGTCATTTAATTGGACTTTTCTCACTTGGAAGTAGAAAACTTCCCAGTTCCGAGTTAGTCATGAATGCAGCATGAGGTCAAACAGGCACAGTCATGTGGATAGATACTGTGACAAGGCACTGGAGCTTATACCAAGTATGAACATGGAAACTATAGCCAAAGAAAGAGACTAAGACTTACAAATTTCAGAATACAGCAACTGAGAAGGGTCTAGATTGGTCTATAATGTCAACTCATAAGGTTGCTTTGAGAGAGGGGGCCTTGCCCTGACAAGAGTACTGTCTGTCTTGTCTACATAAAGTCCTGTAACAGTGAAAGAGAGATGGGAATTGAAACATGTGGGCATAAATCTGGGTGTATTTGTGATCTGAGGTGCAGAAAGTGGGGCCTAATAGCATTTTTAGGGGCCCAGACATACATTTTTTTTGGTCTGGCTGCACATTGCACATTTTTTTATGGATTACATCAAAACACCCATAAAGACATGAATACAAACTACTGTGTGTGTGCCTGTGAGTGTGTATGTGAGTGTGTGTGTGTGTGTGTGTGTGTGTGGAATGGACACATGGAATCATCTTTTACTGCAAGTCAGCATCATTATTAATAAACTATCACACACATGGAGAAGGACAGTGAACTATGTCCAAGTTATCTGTGACCTCATACCAGTCGTTCCTGAGACAGCTGCAGGAGTGTAAACTGTAGGAGCAAGAAAGAGGAGAACACACACACACACACACACACACACACACACACACACACACACAGCAAAAAGAGTCACTTGTGTAAACTGTTTCGAGACTCCAGACACACTGTACAAAAAAAGTAGTTTCATTGTCAAGATATTGTAAAATTTAATTGTCAATACTCATTTTTTGAAAAGAAAAGGTTAAATGCATGTAAAAAAACAGCACTTATGCTGTATTTTAACACTGCTGTTGCTCGAATAGAACATCCATCCATCCATCCATCATCTAAACCGCTTATCCTTCTGGGTCGCGGTGGGGTGCTGGAGCCCATCCCAGCTGTCATTGGGCGGAAGGCAGGATACACCCTGGACACGTCGCCAGTCCATCGCAGGGTCAAATAGAACAGAAAAACACAAATAACAAATGATCGCCTTTATTAGACATTTGCATTCATTTGAATGGTTGTTACTCTTATTATAATGGGAAAATACTGTATGTCAGAATAACTAGCTGAACTAGTGAAACTGTTGAATTACAGTAAAACGCTGTATTTCTAAGAAATTAACCCCTTAACGTTCCAGGTTTATTTCATACTAAGGCTTATTATTCAGAAACTAAAGGGACTTCAATACAAGCTAATAGAGCTATTCTTATGTCATAGAAATGTGTAATAAAACTTTGGGCCCATGGCTTGTGAAGTGGTTAAATGACTGTAATTTTACAGATTTTTTCCATCACTGAGAAAACACACTTTTACTGTTATTTAACACAACTGAACACAGCTCAGACTAAAGCACATCACATCCACAGAAACTCTGCAAAAAGCTACAGAGTTTTGTAAAATGGCACAATGATGTTTCTGCACTGACACTCTCTCTCTCTCTCTGTCTCTCGTCTGATCTCTTTACCATATGGTAACACATTAGTGGGACTTTAAGTATGTGAAATGTTTCAGGTGGTCTTTAAAGCTTGACAGGTCCATAAAAGAACAAAGAGTGTATCATTCTAAAATGACTTCTTCCTGTCCTACAACAAAGCACACACACACACACACACACACACACACACACACACACACACAGTGTGAGGAATTATTTCCTTTCTAAATACAAAAGT